CGGGGTTGGAGAATGAGCGCCGTTCTGCTTCATGTATCCGGAAAGATGTGTCTTTGTGCGTTTGCTCATTCTCTCTTCGTTATTTTGTCCAGGCCTGCTTTATGTGATCTGGTAAATTGTCTTTGCGTCTTTCAACACAGTTGGGGATCCACGCAGGGGCTTCCTGGAGCACATGAAATAATTCTGCAAAAGTATCGAAGAAAAAATGAGCGAACGCACAAAGACACATCTTCTCGGATAAATGAAACAGAACGTCGCTCGTTTTCCAACTCCGCTTCAAAATCGAGTCTTTTTCCATTAAAGCAAAAAGCGAAGTAGAGAAACGAGACCGAAACGAGTAAAATCTGAAAGACTCCAACTCCGGCCTCAAAGCCTCATGCATGAGGTTGCAGCGGATGCAGCACATTCCGCCACTTTGAAAACTGTACTGGAACTGTATCGGGACTCCCTCAGTTATGAAGCCAGCCTTAAGTAAGCTCAAAAAAAAATCTAGAATTGGGGAAGGACCGAAACTCAAAAAATAGGTTTTATAAACTCCTCATCCTAGCTGAGCAAAATTTGAGCTGATCAAGAGCAGACTGATTTTCGCGAAAAAGGCAAAGGATTTTTTCAAATCACAATTTTTATAAGGTCATTCTTTAACACGAATTTTATTTAGCTAGAGGGAGATCATAGTACATATAATTGGATTCTTTCGTTATTTTTTGTAGTTTTTGGATTTTTTGCCAGCTTGAACAAAATTATAGGAATTTTGATCTTCTTCTTGCATTTTTAATACTGAACTTGTGTTTAATAGAACATCCTCAACATATATCCAGAAATTGCCTTGTCTCTCCACTCCATTGAAATATTACAGGCCGATTCATGCAGATAGCAGAGTTACGATTTCTTGAGAAATGGTGCAACGGACTTTTGAACCAACCTAATTGTCATTTCTTGTAATTATGATGAACTCATCGGCAATCCTTGATCAGAATCTTCAAAAAATCCACAATATCCATGAATACAGTGGATGACTTTATGAATGATTTTTTTCAAAATCAGCATGCGCCCCCACCTCCTGTATCAACTCATCATCTAAAAATTTGCGAAAGTTAGACATGGTAAAAATAATGGGTTGTAGTCTACGGCAATCATCTCAGCGCTTAATGGAGATAACAGTAACATTAATGTCACAACAGCAACTCAGCCGCAAATCTATCGGGATGCTTGCTTCATTTCTTTTTTATGGAATAGCATTTTTGAAATTCCACTATGCTGTAGTCCAAGAACGTTGTTAAAATCAACTTTTCAGGAATCCGAGGACGGCATTGTCTTTCCAAAAACATCAGTTCACTATACTCGTTAGCGCTTCACAGGTTAAAGTTTCTCAAATGCAATCAAAGCCAATTTTCCTATTCTCATGTTTTAGGTGTTATTTCTGATCCTTTTCGGTTTGTTTGGAAGTTATGATGCTGATACGTTGCCGGATGGCTCAGAAGATGATATTTACACAGCGCGTTTGTATCCAAGTGCGCCACTCATTTCTGAAGGAAGAGATACATTCATGCTTACAAATTGATACTTTTCAGTGTTCCAAGATACTCATGTCATGATATTCATCGGCTTCGGCTTCCTTATGACTTTCCTCAAGGCATCTCATTTTTTATAAAAATCACAACATAACACGTGACGTTTCAGCGTTATGGCTTTTCGGCTCTATCAATAAACTTATTATTGTCAGTCTTCACCATCGAGTGGGGAATGATTGTGCAAGGATTTTTGAGTCATGAATTCTCAGAGACGGGGAAGTTTACAATCGGCTTAGAAGAGTAAGTTCAGTTTTCATATCATGCAGACTAGTATAAACTTTGAGAAAATGTCTAAACCACTTATAAAGGCACTTGCATTGATCATAATCCGGTACTTTGATCAAGATCTGAGATGATCTGCTGCGGCTAAGGTCTCTGCAACAAATCGCCAAATGCTCGGCTGCCGGACGCCGCATATTCTTCCCCAAAGGACTTCTGCGATGCGGATGATTATTTGCCCACAATCGCGCGTAGACTGACCCTAAGAAAATAAATTTGAATAACATATAACTATTCAATAGTAAGACGAACTGACTCACAAAATAAAAACAAGGATATCAATAAATGCTAACTTATTCACGCTCTCTTCCTCAGCACACTCTCGCACTCTCCTCTTTCAAGCATGCTAACCCTTAAGTCGGCCACCCATCGCCGACGCGATACACCGCGCGGCTAACTCCAATCCTGTGGATGTTACTGTATCCAGCTAACATCTATTCTGGCTTCGCAATATATCCTGCGCGTCCATGGGCTACTGGGTTTCGTCGTCCTAATTTTGCCTCTTTGCGCGTCTATCATACCATTCGTTTGTCCACCATACACTTAGCAAATCGCGGGAACGCAATTATACCGATATCAAGAAATCCCAGCCAACCAGTAACTAAGCACATAAACGAATTTGCGCGGTTGGGTTATTTATAGCTCTTGTTGGGACGTGTCTATTTTGGTTCGGCTAACAAAAGGGTATTAGGCGGCAAAACGCTGCAACTCGCCGCTGTTTGGCTGAAGAGCGCGGCATCGTGGTGGGGTCAAACTTCACCATGTGCAATCTATCGTGAACCGTGACAGTTCACGCAAAAAATCAAGCAAAGCCCTGGAAATTTCTGAGAATTCTCGCTGTTTTGATGGACACATAAAAACATCCATTAAGGTGCTTGCTACTCAATCCTCCAAAGATGGGAAAACGAGGAGGAAAACAAAATGATAGATTTTCTAGAATCAATTCGATTTCTGGCGTAGTTAAAGTTTTTTGAAGTTTTACCTCAGATTTTGATTTGATCAGGTTCCATGCGAACGTTTAAGGATTGCTATATAAGCACGCTTTGCGCTGCGCATAAGAATCGAAAGTGCAGCAAAATCAAATGAGAAAATGATTCTTCTTTAACGGAAAGCATTGTATTGTGCAAGTGATATTTGTGGCATGTTGAAGCTGGTAAAATAGCTTCAGAGGTAGTGACAAATTGTAAATGACGAAATTATACATTTGCTACGCATGTGGAGGTTCACACTGCATACGTAGGACGGAATATATGTGCAGTTTCTATGCATAAACGAGAAAACTACACTGCCACCCATAATTTGCACATTTCCTTGGATTCTATTAGAAGTTACCAGACATACAGCTGCGGTTTCCACTCAAAACGGAGAGTCAATCTACTCGATCAAGGAAAAATTTTTAGGCTTTTGACAGCCGATTTCACAGCCGCAGTCATCCTAATAACAATGGGTGCCATGCTTGGCAAACTTTCTCCAACCCAATACGTCGTAATGGCATTTATTGAGACTGCCGTTACGTTATTTGTCGAGCATCACGTTATCCACACCTTCCATGTAAGTCTTCCTCCAATCACACCCTTATGGCGAATTGTTGACTGTGGAAAATTGTATTATCTACAGATTGTCTTAGGTGAATGATGTTGGCGATTCCATGGTTGTTCACGCATTCGGTGCTTATTTTGGCTTGGCCTGTTCCAAAGTGTTCGGGACAAAAAGCCAGAGAGAACACGAAAACGAAGGATCAATCTATCATTCGGATATCTTCGCTGAAATTGGTAAACGCTGCACTTTATCGCACTGAATCCGCACGCACTGATCTAGACAAAACCAACGATCAAAGCTGGTTGAAGGTTGATCAAAATTACGGGTTGAAGGTTGATTTTTGCAACAAAAAAATAGATATTTTTTGAGAATGTTTGAGGAAGCTGAAAAATATGTATAACAATCATTTGTTATATTCACTAAATGCAGTCTTTCATTATAAAAGAGTATTTTAGGACAAAATCGAAAGCTGAAATAGAAAATTCTAAAAATTTTAACCACCTGCAGAGACCGGATCACTACATATTTCTCGTAATCAAAAAGAGCACGTCGTGAAATCAGAATCAAAATCCATTTTAGCTTCTAATGAATTTTCCGGCAATTTTAGCAAACGAAAATATAAAATCATTTTTTGAGTGTTTAAGTAGTTTGTATCATTGCCAAGTGCTTTTTGAATGACTTCGATTTGAGTAGATTTGAAAAACTTAAGATTTTTTTAATTTCCTATGCATCGAAATAAACGAGTTCCTTGCAGTTCGAGCTAAGACAGATTGAAAAATTTTGTGCAAAAATTATGCGACGAGTCAGCACTCCTTTATCTAGTCAGTGTGTCTCAATTGAATTTGAAAGTTCACATATTTCCAAACGTCTAATAAGACACCTTTCTTCATTGACCTAGTACGGTAGATTTTCCACTACAAAAAGCTCATTTTAGGAGCTATTTTCCTCTGGGTATTCTGGCCTTCATTCAACGCTGCAGCTGCTTCCCCAACTGATGCCCGTCAAAGAGCTGTTTGTAATACATTCCTCTCACTTTGTGCCTGTACCGTCACCACATT